CAGACTTCTTCAGCGAGTGAAAGCCAGTGTTACTACAATGAAACAATAGCCTTTTTCTACAACCGGAGTGGAAAACCTCTAGCCACAGAATGGCATACTGTCAACAAGCTGGTGATGGGACTTGGTATCACTGTATGTATATTCATCATGTTAGCCAACTTACTGGTTATGGTGGCTATTTACGTCAACCGACGATTTCACTTTCCTATTTATTACCTAATGGCAAATTTGGCTGCTGCAGACTTTTTTGCAGGACTAGCTTACTTTTACTTAATGTTTAACACGGGTCCTAACACTAGAAGATTAACTGTGAGCACTTGGCTGCTTCGGCAGGGTCTGATCGACACTAGCTTGACAGCTTCTGTAGCCAATTTGCTGGCGATTGCCATAGAAAGACACATTACAGTATTCAGAATGCAGCTGCACACCCGGATGAGCAACAGAAGAGTGGTTGTTGTCATAGTAGTCATCTGGACAATGGCTATTGTAATGGGAGCTATACCAAGCGTTGGATGGAATTGTATCTGTGACCTTGAGCACTGTTCCAATATGGCTCCTCTCTACAGTGATTCCTACTTGGTGTTCTGGGCCATTTTCAACTTGGTTACATTTGTGGTGATGGTAGTTCTCTATGCGCATATATTTGTGTATGTTCGACAGAGGACTATGAGAATGTCAAGGCACAGTTCTGGGCCTAGGAGAAATCGTGACACAATGATGAGTCTTTTGAAAACGGTTGTCATTGTATTAGGTGAGTACTTTACCCTTCTTTAATTTCCATTGCAATGTTTTATTAAAAAAAAAAAGCACATCATGTTTAATAAGGTATTTAACACATTCATCATCTGTTGTGCACAGTAAGCTATTGTATAAATGTACCTGTTTATTGAAACAAAGACAGAAAAAGATGGCACACAAGCCTAGTGCATTATCTTGAGACCATTTTATTGTAAAGAATGTAAAATAAAATCAATCCATTCCCAATACTGAAGCGATGCCCATCCACACTGGTGTGCCTGGACTGTTTCAAGTACTGTGCCCTCTTCATGAGAGCTTTTTGTTTCTCAGTTTGTTCTACAGGCTTCCCCAATCTGAAGTGGGAAGCAAGGCAGTCATGATGCAGAGTTCCTCATGGTCAATCCTTTCCTGTGTCTGGTTATACAGACGAGGACTACTATTTGAGACTGTCATTATAGACTTAGCGACTTGGAACTCTTACTCACCTGTAGTGCTGATGGTTGTTCTTTGTTCATCTCTTTACTGATCTGACTTTGATGCAAATGTAAAGGGTTTCATAATTAGATGTATTAGTGGAAGTGATCAGTTTTAAAAAAAAAAAAAAAAAGCTGCCGGTGTATATAAAGCTCAAGTACATACATGTGCCTGTACATACCTGTGGTAGCTTTCAGAAGTTAACTGTGCCCGAATGACAGCTGTTTTGATTCAGGCAAAGCTAAGACACTCCCTGGTAGTGTTGGATCTTTCCTGTTCCTTCCACCCATTTATCCCCATTGGTTCCTCTCTATTGGCTCTCTTTCTAGACATTGAAAATATATTGGGGGGGGGGGGGGGTAAGCAAGCTTCAGTACCAGCAGGAAGTGCCAACGTTTGGTCTGACCAGAACATACAAGCATTCTGGTAGAGCAGGGGCACTAAAAGCTGCTAGGTATGCGTAGGAACATACGCTTTTTTTTTTTTTGTTAAACTGACAAGTTACTGTAATATATACAAATATAGATGTGTTACTGTTTTATAAATCTTATTTAAGTTCATAGCATGTAATTATAAATATATGTTCATGTTGGCAACTGTTTTTATTGATTTCATGTGCAGGCTTTGTTCTTAGTAGCTGGGCCCATTGATGGTGTATTTCCCAGCCTTTTAATTCACTATGGATATTCAAGACATGACTTGCCTAAAAGCAACATACTTTTTTCAGTCTCTAATGGTTTTAAATGTACACAATGCTTCCGGAGCTCAAAGACTGACTTTTTATCTTTGGTTAGGAAGTTCATGAGCAGTCTGCTTTTTTTTTTAATCATGGCATAAATAAGTAAAAATGGGCTCAGGACGTGCATGCAGCAGCCATGAGCTGGTTTCAAGCATAATTCCCAACATATGTAAAAAACTATATAATACAAGAAGTGTTGTATCCCCATGAGTCCCAGAGTGGGACTCATGCCCTAGTCTGGTCCTTCCCTTTCAGTTCACTTTGGCTACAAGCATGATGCGGACATGTTTCGAAGAGGAAAGTCTGAAAGCCATGATTTTAAAAACTGTATCCAAAGTCATACTCAACCACCCATGGATCCCAGAATGCAACATAGGAGACCTCAAATTTCTATTTACTGGTCTGCTTTTGCAGTTCTGAACCAAAAAGCGCTCAGTAGTGAAATGTTTTAGGTTCAGGAGCTTAGTGAGCAGGAGATCTGGAACTAGGTCTGCTGTCCTTCTGTAGGCCACAGGAGAAACATCTGTTGGCTTTTTTTTTTTTGTTTAAAGTTCATCTGTCATCACTCTGCAGGTGGGGGAGGGGCTACATTGAGGGAGCGCAGTAGGGGGGTTAAGGTCACTGAACTAGGAGTGAGTCTTTCTGTCCCTCATTCTTCCTCAAATGACTCCCATAATGTGCCAAACCTTTTATCCATCCTTCAGAATATAGCACTGGTTAGACACAAATATAAAGAAAAGGTGGTAGTGGCAAAAGCCCCAGTAGGTTTAAAATAATCATTGTGTTTTTAATTCATCATTCAACTCCATACAATCAGGGTTGTGACAGGGATGTGTGCTTTTAGCCAAACATTATGTGCTAAAACAGTTTATTTTCCATGTAAAAGGGTTGAGATGTATGTAACAATAAAGATATGTTAAAGCCAAAGCAAAAAATTCTGAACATGTGGTGAGCATGGGGTCAAGGTCTGAATCCAAACTTGTAGCTTCACGTCCATTGTTTTGAATAAAACCTAGAGCAGGCTGGGTCTAAGTACTCTATCAGCAACAATTTCTGGAAGACTTTAAATTAAATATGTAGTTTCTTCCTTCTGAAAATGCTAGATACTGAGCTCTTTCTGCACCCCAGTGCTTTCTGAATCACTGACCCAGAGCAAGCATGCAGCTGATGAAAACCAGACCACAGTAAGAATTTCTGATTTGCATCCTTGCTCCAAGCTAAAAAGTAATAAAACACTGAGGTCATCCTAACAGACTAGCATTTTCTGAAGGGACCTTTACAATGGTAGTCTCCATATTTCTCTTAGCATAGGTTTGCTACATAATTCTACTTGAAACAAACATGACCAATTTTGCCATCCATTTATGTATTGTAGACTAATGGGCAAATTTGCAAGTTCAAAATCTATGTTCTTACATGGTCTCTCCCAGCTATGGTTACCGTATGATTATATTGATGATCCCTGCCCCTTAGCATCCAAGAGGATACACAGGTTTACGGTTAAAGTAAACCGTAAGGCAAAACTTTTTTTTTTTTTTTTTTTTCATTTTGGATAGAGCAAGGGAGGATTATAAACCCTGTAAGATTTTTTTTTTTGCAGAGATTTCCTGTCACTTCCTCTCCCATAGCTGAACAGGAAGTAAAAGGAAATCCTTTCAAATTAAGTGACCTCCTTGGGTACCCCCAGATTACCAGAATTAGTGTCCCCATTGGACGATTTCCCCTCTATTACTTTTCTGGGGACAACCCAAAATTTGGGATTTTCTTTTACTTTCAATGATAATGGTAAACAGGACAAAGAGAGAAAACAAATCTCTCTAATTGGGACACAGACAGCAATAAAAACTGACAGGTGTTCTAATCCAGCAGCACTCTATTCAAACCCAGGCCAAGATATGGTCATATTTACATTTTTGGTTTTCAGAAAGTGCTCAGAGCTAAAGTAATTATACCTTAAAAAAAACATAATAAAATCATGATATTTATTTGAACTTACAACTATGCTCTGAGAGAGAGAAACACAATCTCCCCTTCATGATAGACACAATACTAAACAATTTAAAATCACCGAGAACTCTAGGTGAAGAGTAAAATACATCAGCAAGCCAAAGACAACTACTAATATATATTATTTATGTTCTAGAATTATCTTATTCCCTGCAGAATAATACACAAAGTATTCTGAGACATGGCTGTCATGCATCAATATTTGCTCCTTCCTTCCAGGAATTGCAGATCATTTGCTAAGGTCACCACTTCTCACACAACATGTGTTCGATTGTAAACACTAAAGCATGTTCATGTAGAAATTAAAATTTTGTCAGCCAATCAGTACTAAAAGAGATTGTCATTTGTTGCTGTTGACTGAAGCTGGTCAAAATATCTGAGTTTCCTGGTAAAGCACATTCTCTTTCATTCAGTTAGTCCAGGGCCTCCAGTATGTACGTATTTGACACATATCTCGATAGCGCCCCCTCAACTGCCATACTCTCCGTGCCTACAGTTGTGCTTCGGCGAGTTCCTTGGTTCAAGTGTTGGTTTGTTGGGCGTCAGCATGCGCCCTGGAAGATTTCTCTTTCTAGGAAGAACATCTCTTAGTGCACCCTGGATGGCATTGTTAAGCGTCTTTTCAGTGCAGACTGCTCTTTCTTTGACAGTATACTAGGAAAAGGAACCGTGCGGAGAACACAGTCCTTCCTTCTCTACACATAACAGTGTTCTTTGTTCTCCTGGCCCCTCAGTCAAGGTATCAAAGCCTTCCCTGCTCTCCAACTCATGGGCCCATAATTGACCTTGTCGGGTTACGCAGTAACATTTCATTCTTGTTCACTAGAGAGATTTTCTTATTCCAACCTTTGGTTCTCACCACCTCGCCTGCATGCTCTCTGCAGGACGGTCCAGGAGCTGCTGGGAAGTCATTGCTCCGGGGTTGAACTTGTAAACACTGGACCTCAGGTCCTGAATTGCTACGTGGAGATGGAGATGTTCATGTTGGAATTCCTCCAGTCTGTGGTGGCCTCCCTTCATCAGGGAGATTTCTGGGCCTTATAGACAGCCAGGATGCATGCCTGCTCATCCCCATTTCCGCCATTCACCAATGGTTCCTATGTTGTGCGGTAGAGGAAATGCATAATCAGTCTTGTTTTCACAAAGGTAGTGGCTCTGGTTCTGCCTTGTCGAGACAATGGGGGATTGCCATATATGGCTGTCTGGACAGCCTGCTTCAGAGGGCGGTGACTCACTTGGGCCTGATGGACAACATGGTGATCACGGTCCACACTTTGCTGGAGTTTTAATTGGTTCCATGCTGACTCCAACCAGATGTTTGGAATATCTACATCTCACTCTCTTTGTTGCAGGCCACAGTGTTTTTCTGGCTGGACAAGCTTCAGAAGCTTCAGGTGACATGCGTGTACTGATGTTCCACAGATGATCTTCCCTTTGCTCTTGCATTCAAGTTCTGTGCCTGAGGGTGTCTACCTTCTAGATGGTCCCATACGCGCAGTTCCACACGAGGGTCCTGCAGAAGGAAATCTTGTCAGAATAGGACAAGTCCCTCACGTCTATGGATCCCTAGATGCGCCTGGGTTGAAGAACCAGAGTACCTCTGGTTCGGTGACTACAGTCTCCTTTCCCCGCTCAGGCTGGCGGCGGGGAGAATTCTGGGGTCGAACTTGGCTCTGGGTCGCTGGTTGCCGGAGGAATTTTGTCTGCCGATCAGTGTTCTGGAACTTCGGGTGACCAGACTGTGTCTGGACCAGTGGACAGTGTTTCTTCAAGGGCAGCCGGTCAGTACCTGCCATATACATCCCAGGTTTGTCAG